TGCGGATTGAAAATCCAAATTTGATTACATATACACCTCATCCAAATATGTGACAATCGGATCGAGTTTTGAAGTTTCAAGTATCATTGATAGGCATACTTTCTTGGCTTGATTCTTCTTTTTGTAATATTTAATCTTTTTGGGGTATCTTTTTTTTGTTCATTTATCAAAAATTGCAAGATTTAAATAGAGGGAATTGAATGAGGATGAAAAGTAGTAGTTCAATTTACAATTTAAACCTCATAATTAAATAGAGACTAAATTTAAAAATGAGTATTTAGTCAAAAGAAAGTTTCACAATCTTATTCATATTTTTAATAGTGGTGTAAATATAGAATTATAGATGTGTTTAATTTTTTCTATAATTTTTTTTTTGTATTTTTGTGTGTAAAAATAATTCTAATATGTCACACTTACTTTTTGTTTAATATGATAAATATATGATATTATAATGTGCCTAAATGTTTTTTTTTTCAAAATTTATGTATTTTTATTTTTTATTAACTTTTATTATTTATTTATGACATTAAAGGTTAACTTGTTTGACCCAAAATTTGTACTATTGATCTTTGCCAAATAGTAAAATATTTCATTTTTGGTTAGTTCAAAATTATGTATTTCATTTTCATTACTAATAAAAATAATTCTTGTTTATTATACTTATTTTTTTAATTTGATTAGTAAAATACCATAAGTGTGTCTAATTGTTCCTATATTTTTGTAAGTTTTTATATTTATTTCTCTTTTAAAAATTTATTAACTAACTATGACTTCGTAAGTTGATGAAAGTGATTCGGATGGTTGAATTGCTTAACCACCAGTTGGAATAAGCATTATTTTGTTTTTGAGTCGATTTTAAAATATATGGGTTTATATTGTTAAAAATATTGACACAAATCTAATTCAATAAGAGAAAATGAGAGTTAATAATTCAAGTATCAGACTTAATGAGAGGAAATTAAATGAAGTGTGAAATAATAATTGAAGTTATATTTTCAACCTTACCATTAGAGATGGATTAAAGACACAATTCATGGCCAATTAATCAAGGTTCAAATTATTGCAATGTATTAGTGCCTATCATAGCCCCATTGATTTTTGAATTCATTAAAACGTCAAATACATGGATTTAGAGGGAGTCTTTATCTTTAAACATTAGAAGCCCTCCTAAAATGTTTATTATGAAAAACTCAGGCTGTAAAAAGAAAAAAAAAGAAAAGAAAACAGTTATCCTATCAATATTTTAAACATTATTTCTACCAATTACCCAAAATTAGAAATAGATTTTCTGAGCTCTAATTTACATCTTTATGACACTTTTAATCAGATGTCGATGGGAGTGTTGGCTTGATACACAAGTAGATTATATGCATTATATGCATATGATGCACATGCCATACTATAAGTAAAACCCATATACATGATTTGGGCAATAAGTAAAACGATAAGTTGATCATTTCAATAAGTAAAACCCATATACATGATTTGGGCAATCTTCTAAAGGGTCCTATCCTGAGGGGAAATCATAAAAGTTTGTAAAAACGATATGGATTTGCCTTTTCTAATAGATACATGTATTATCAAATTTACTTTTTAAAGTACATTATATGCATATGATGCACATGCCATACTATTGAACTGTAGTCCATTGTAACTAACCTAATTTCTGTTCTGCTCTGCAGATATCATCCTTAAAATAGTGGGCTCAATGCTTTTTGTCCTGAATTGTCCAAACCAAGGTCGTCATTGTTCCATTAGATAACCCTTTAGGTCCTATTGATGATCAACTCTCTCTTGTGCCCACTACCCACTAATAGTATATTCTATGGCTATCTCTACTCTAGGGTGGAGGTTGACTGTCTAGTCCAATGTAGTAGAGGGTTACCTATTTGCCTAATGTTGTCAATTTATGGGCATACATGGCTTGCCAACATGTCGTTTTCAATTTTGTTTGTGCCATGTTGTCTTTGATAAGGCTAATGCGGGCTAGTTCGAGTGGCAATTCTAGGAGAGGATGTCTTTAAGGAGGTGTTTGGCACAGTGGTGTTGTATTACTGTTGCGTTTTGGGTTAATCAATACAATTTTTTGAGAGAGATTTTTTTTATTTGAAAATGTTGAATTGTTCGATACAAATTGTTATTCTACCTAAAATGTCAAATTTGATGATTCTCATACATGTATTTTTTAGTTGAAATGACACTCATATATAATGTCATAATACATATTTCTCATAAATTTGTATTGATCCAAAATGCAATGCAACTTTATTGTACCAAACACCCCAAGAACCATTTTACCCTAGAACCGTTATTTCCACCAAAACTGTTGATTTAGTCAGTAAACTGTTGAACCGTTATTTTTTAACTTTTTTTTTTGTCAAAATGGGCCATCTGTCCAATTCGAATGGTCATACCATTTGACCTGGGAACTGAACCCCTTACCAGTTCATTGTCCAGATCAGTTTTAAAAACCTTGATAAAAACTGCGCTTGACTATGCAGTTTTTGCATTATTTTCGCTGAAACCAAAGTGGTGCATTTTAAAAGTAGAATCGACACATTCACATTATTTCCGCTGAAACCATGCTGTTACATAGCTTCTCAAATGCATGGCTGCTTAAAGGAAGCTAAAAAAATTGGCACATTCACATAACATGAGGTGTAGTGTTGTGTTGCAGCTTCCACCATAAACAGGTCATGCCAAACATGTTTTTTTTAACAGTTGAGGTCTAAATTCTGATGTAGCGCAAATGTGGTACATACCCTAAGGCTATGCCAAACATTGGTGTTGTTTCTTTTCTTTTCTTTTCTTTTTCTTAGTTGATTCAACTTTTATGGGGGGGGGTAACTTCTCCCTTACCCCTTTTTTCCCAAAGTGCTGGTTGGAACAAATCAGCTAACACACTAATGAGCCAGCCCTCATTGGGTCACAGAGCACACTCTTTAGGCGCTCCACATGCATATCTCAGTAGGGGTGTCAATAGACCGGTTTTGGGTTAGACTCCGTCCAAATCAAAACTCATTTGGATGAATTGGACGGACCAATAAGACATATTGAATTTAGATGGATTGGACGAATCAATATGGCATATTGGATTGGACGTAGTCCGTCCGTAATTGAGCCAATATTTGGTCCATTGATAGAAGATAAGAACATAGGTGTCAATGGACCAGGTTTGAGTTGAAACTAATCTAAATTAACAGGAATTTGAACAGATTGGGCAGTATCTGGACCAGTCCAAAGTAATCCAAAACATTCATTGGACTGGATTAGACCAGGTCTATTTGTAATGGACTCACTTTGGACTTGACCGGATTGGACCAAATCCAATCCAATTGACACCCCTATATCTCAGCATGCATTAGAAACATCTCCCATACTTGTCAATGGGTGATATTCCCAATACATGGTTGGGATGTGCTGTGAGTCATGTTCTGAGGCGCCCATGCGAATTCCAAAGGGGATATTCAAACAAATGTCAAAATGTTATGCTCACTTGTTCTATATAGCACCCATCAGTCTCTCTCTCTCTCTCTCTCACTTATTTCTAGTATAAATGCCCCTGGCTGAAAAGCTTATGGTACCAAATCACTAGGTAATTTGGGTGATGTTGGTAATCTTGGGAATGAAAGGCAAATGGTTTTCCTAACTTTTGGTGATGAGATATATAGGACACAAGAGCTAGAGCTTGAATCTTCTACCCCAGAAAGATGCTACTCACAGGTAACCACAATATATTACAGCCACATTGGGAACATCCCTACAGGTACCCACAAGACATTACAGCCACACGTGGGGAACATTTCTACATAAATGACAATTAAATGAGGCATCAGTAGGGATCTGCTACACACAGACGCTACAGTAGGACATTGGGAATATTTCAATTGTCATTCACTCTGGATTCCCTACTCACTTTTCCTACCCAGTTTCTACAGGTAGAGAGTGAGTAGGAAATCCCAAATGAATGTAAATGTGGTAAAACCGGGTGGCTAGCTTGCCCGTAAGGTCTTGGCCGAGAAAATGCTCAAAATGTTAAAATTTTAAAAACATTCATTACCTTACATGAGGCGATGAAGGGGAAAAAGTTGCAAGCTGTTTTCTTTTTACCTTTATTTTACTCTGCTAGTTTGTTTTAACTATTTGCTTTTCCTTAATTGAAGGATGCCTTGCTACTATTGATCAATAGTCTATAGTTTGTCAGGAAAAAAGCTGTGTGTTAAAGTTAGGGAGAGAGGATAAAGAATAAAAGAACAAAACAGAAGATCATGAGAGAGAGAGAGATGGATCGTCTGGTCGAGAAGAAAAGGCACTTGGATTGGACAAAGTTCAACCCGGCCCAACGGCATGGCCCATGGGTCTGGCCTAATTTGAGTTCGTATTTGAGCAGGAAATAATATGGGTTGGACTTGGCCTAATTTAACTATTAGATATTTAGATTAGATGTCAGAGATGGGTTAATCAGGTTTAATAAAAAAACGTGAACCCTCGTTCATTTTCTGCAATAATGGATTGAGCCCAAAGCCCATGGGTTGGATTTATTTGGTTGCTGCAATCTTCTCTTTCACCTTGTACCTTTTTAAGTTCTATATTTAACTTGATAAATCAAGGTCCATAAGTAAGATCAGAGAGAACCGGTTTGTTTGTAAGAAGCTTCTTGATTTTCCTTTGGTTTGGATGGGCTGATTTAACTCAATATTTTGAAATTAGGCCCATAAAAGCCAAATATAGAGCCCATAATGCAAATTATCAAACTATAAACATATAATAATATTAAAAAATAAAAAGAGAAGTTTTTCTTAGTTGTTAAATTCTAATTGTAACAATTTTTTTAATAAATACTTTAGATTCCATTCAGAAAATATTGGAAAGAGATTCTGTTGCTATTTCCTAATGATGAACACCATCCTAGTTTCTGGGCCTAGGTTGGGCCTCGTACTAAAAGCCCATAACGGCCCTTATGTTCAGCTTCAACGGGAAGCAATCTGGTGTCTCCACTTCTGTGGCAGATGTCCACTCTACGGCTCTACCTCGTTCAATGATTTGTCCTCTCTCTCTCTCTCCCTGCGGTTGACGGGGAAGTTACGCAGAGTTCGGGACATAAATCCGTATCCTCAGTGCTTCAGTCCTGTTTCATCTGCTCACAGAGCCTCAGACCCAGACCCACCCAGAAACCAGGGTCCTTAAAGTTTCAACGAGAAAAAAAACAACTGAAAATCCTCCTGTTAAAAACGGGTTTCCTTCCTAATTCCAACTATAGCAACAACAGCAGAACAGTGAGTGTTGCTTTTTCGAATTTCAATCTCTTTCCGATTTTTGATTAATTTGTGATCTTCTCATCTGTTGATCACTGAAAATTTAGTATCGATCCCTTAAGCTTCGCATGTTCTGATTCTCTCTGCAGTTCGAATCCTTCTATCTTTGATTCTGTTGTTCGAAATTTGTGATTTTTTTTTTGTTTTTTAATCTCTAGGGTTATTCTCTGAAGAGGTTTTGAATGCTTTATTGCTGGAAGAATCAATTTTAAATTGGATTTTGAAATTTTCGATTTCTCTCCCTCTGGAAAGAGTATTGAACATTGAGTTAACATCGATGAAATTGTTTGTTTAGAGAGGGAGAGAGGGTGAGAGTTATGGCTTCTTCTCAGAGCAATATTCACTCCGAATCAGCAAAAATTGAGCAGATAATTACTGAGTTTTTTACAAAGAGTTTGCACATAATACTAGAGTCCAGGTCTCCATGTGTTTCCTCGCGGAATTACAGTGGAGAGCAGATTCTTTCGTCTCCATCATCGTCCTCGTCTTCGTCTTCGAGTGTCAAGCCTAGAGATAAATGGTTCAACTTAGCACTTCGGGTCTGTCCATCTGCTTTAGAGAACATTGACCTCTGGCGTCAGAGCAATCAGGAACCGATGGTGGTTGATGTGATTCTCATCCAGAGACCGACGGACTTGGATCCTGTTCGGTGTTCTCCGAGGAGAGGCCTTGCGAGGAACTACTCTTTGAAAGAGAGGTTTAGGAATTGTTGGAATCCTGGGCAGGAAGAATATCCTTCGGAAGTGAAAAGAGAAAAGATTATAGAGAGGTGGATTGTGCAGTATGAGAGCCGGAAGAGTAGGGACTCAAGTTCAGGGGGCAAGAGGACGGGCAGTACTAGTTCCCACTCATTGTATAAGAAATCCATTATATTGTTAAGGTCTTTGTATGTGACTGTGAGGCTATTACCTGCATACAAGCTCTTCAGAGACCTCAATTCGTCGGGGCAAATTCACACATTTAACCTTGATCATAGAGTCTGTTCCTTTGTTGAGCCTTTCACTCGTAGAGAGGAGGCAGAGATGCAGCAATTTGGGTTCATGCCCATCGATACTAATGGGGGCAGGCTTTCCCTTTCTGTGTTGTACCATCCAAAACTGTCAGATGTGAACTTGGAATCTTCAACCCCAATATCCACACAGCTCATACCAGATTATGTGGGGAGCCCGATGACAGATCCTCTTAAAAGATTTCCTTCTCTTCCTGTGACAACTCATGTTTCACCTTCTTCTGCCCCATTTTGTAGGCGACACAGCTGGAGTTATGACCTTTATGGAGCCTCTGCACCTTCAGCATCTCCTTCACCCTCACCAACATACTCAGATTCCCGTGGTTTCCCTTCTAATATGACTTCCAATCGCCTCCCGCCTACAAGCTCACCCCATCACCCCCCTGAAACTCCACTCTCAAGCAATACATCTTTGGCTCATAACAAAAATACAAGTTTTGATGAGTATTGGCCATCACCTACATTCTCTCCCTCTCCTTCCCCATCTCCGCCAACCCATGTACCTGGTGATCATCTGTCGAAGGCTCTTTTACGTTCTGAAAGTGCTCCAGTCAGCATATCTGCAGCTAAGCTTGGTGGAAGCCCAGGATTACCCACCACTCATATGCTGCCTCCATCGCCTTCCCTAAAAGGCACACGACCTGGTTTGCAGATTGATAATGTTAGAGCTCCAGCGAGGCCAGCAGATGTTCAGACCTGCATAACAGCTCAGAAGGTACTATATTGGTAATTTGTCTTGTTGCACTTGTCATATCATTCTTCCATTGCATCTGCAAGGCACCAGTTTGTACATTGATTTGTTCTTTTTCTAGATACTCTATGCTGGGAGGGATGAGGTTGGAAATCTTTCTGGAGCAAAGATATCATCTAATAGTTCACCAAGGATTTCATTTTCAAGGAGCTCTAGCAGGTTGTCTTTCCAGGATGAGTTTGATGGTTCTGATTTTGCCTGCCCATTTGCTGTCGATGATGATGATCTAATGGATCTTCATACCAGGTAAAGCATTGAATAATTACTGATTGGTTTCCCTTACAACATCACTTATTTCTTTTATGTTCCATAGACCTTTATTAACAACCACACCAATACGAATTCATTAATGAAACAAAAGTTAAATGCAAAGGTAAAAGAATAGAAATTCCACCAATAGCGATTGCACTAGCAGATGCACTTGCAAGAGAAGGGGTAGGTAGGTATGATCTTGTATTGGTCTCTGGGATTATGCTGTCAAATTGATGGCACAGTAATTGTGGCGTAGGGAATTTTCTACAATTGTGTTGTCCTTTTCATACAAAAGCAAACATGCCTCAATGATAAACACCCAATATAATCACCCTTGAGCACGATTTAGGGCCCATTTGATTTGTCGGAATAGGGGTCTGGAATCGGAATCAGAATGGGCCATTCCAATTCCAACTGTTTGGTTGGGAGGAATCAGAATCTCATTCCCATTCCTAGTGGATTGGCATTCCCCCATTTGAGGGAATGGCCATTCCCTCCCCCTCCCTTGGGAATGAAATCCCATTCCACCTGATTCCAATTCTCGTTCTGATTCCTATCTGAACCAAACAGACTTATGGGAATAGACCATTCCAATTTCGATTCTGAAGGATTTTGATTCTGATTCCGGTTCTGACTGTGAACCAAACGGTCCCTTAGAAAACCAGAATGCGCCAATAATTCCCCACCCCTCTACAACTAGCTCCTCCCTAAGCTGCACCTTACAAGCATATTCAATCATTGTGCTGCCTTCTTTTGTATAGTACTGATCCCCAATATCAGTCATTCTAATAGTTGGAATATCTTCGTTAATTAGTAAAAGATATTTCTGATTGTGTTAAAGATAAAAAAACTAATGATGGTTACTGATAATTCCTTGCCTGGCTAAACAATTCTCCATCCTGATAGCATTAGAAATTCCCAAAACACAAAGGACAAGGTGGACAACATTAAAGAAAATGAGAGATAGCTTTTTCCTTGTAGAGGGACAGAGAATAGACTCAAAGGACAAGGTGGACAACATTAGCAATTTTTTTTTGTTGCTTTTAGGAGAGGTAACAGCTCGCACCTCTCCATGGGCATCCTGTAATGATCTAACCTCTTGCTCTTTTCATTATTCATTTATCAAAAGAAAGGTGGACAACATTAAAAAAAAGGCTATGACTCAGTAACGTGGTCTCCATGTGTGCTAGAATGCAATGACACTTGATTTGCAGGGTCCAAGGACTGGAAGAGAATCACCTTGCAATTGTTGTACTTGTACCTTGTTGAAGATGTTTAACCTGTCTTACCCAGTTGGACTGGAGTAATCCTTTGATATAATTTTTCTTTTTTTGATGGAGGACAATGAATCTGTGGCACAACACTGATAGTTGGTGTGGAAGTTTGATACCAAATTGATGGACTGTGTACTGAAATCTAAAACCTAGCTAATAATGTAAATATGAAGAAGAAAGGGAACAATATAAAGGGGGACTTAATTGGATACAGGATGGTTATTTAAGAGCTGGTTTATGGCCTGTAGGGCTATAAAGAAATCAGTTCAAGAAAGGAGAACTTTGGTGAAGATTGAGATGGTTGATAGAGGCTCTATAGATGGCGCTCTTAAGGTAGAGAAGAAGGGCTAGATGAAGAAATAAGTTGGATATTCTTATACTAATGATGCTGAATTGATATTTCGGCAACAAGAAGTAGACAATAGCTTTCTTTATTAGAGTGGATAGAATCAAAAGATGAGAGATTTAAAAAGATCAGAAGAAAGTATCAATTAAAAAGAAAAAATAGAGAAAAGAAATTTAGAGAAGAAAGGATACAATGCCCACAGATATCCTATTTCTTTGCATTCTTTGTAACGCTGGAAAAGAGAAACTAGAAAACTTGATGCCTATAATGAAAAGGTTTGAGAATAGTGACAGATCTTCATCTAAATTTATTTAAGACTGAAGTGATGGTTGTGAGGGGGATTCTTGTTTCTTTTTTTTTTTTTTTTGGTAAATTGGGCCATATCTGGCTGTGGAGAATCTAATTCAATGCTGCAGACTTTGGTTGTAAGGTAGGAAAGCTGCTAGGCACATATTTGGGAATGCCTTTTGGTGCCAAATGTACAAGTAAGGCCATTTGGAACCAATTTTGGAACAAAAGGAAAAGTGGTTGGCATCATGGAAATCCAAATACCTCTCAAAAGGAGGCAAAGTAACACTAGTGAAGGATGCTCTTTCCTCTCTTCACGTGTACTTCCTGTCTCTATTCCCTATCCCAGCATCAATGACCGATGAAAATGAAAAGAAAGAGATTTTTTATGGAGGGGGTGGAAAGATGAAGGGAAATATCATTTAGTAAATTGGAGGAAGGCATGTAATCCTAAGGGGAATGGAGGCTTGGGATTAGGTGAGGGAAGTAGATGTTACTATGTTGGTAAATGGTTTTGGAGGTTCAATGAGCAACAGGACAGTCATTGGAGGAGGACTTTTGCAGCAAAGTATGGGTGTAGAAATTTGGAGTGGGATCCAGGTGAGGTCAGAAGACCTTATCACTGTGGGGTCTTGAAGGAAGTGGACAAAGCTTAAAACAGCCATAGTAAGGGTGTGAAGTTTGAAGTGGGAAATGGTCAGAAAATCAGGTTCTGGAGAGATTGTTGGTGTGAAGACAGACCTATAAAGGATCTATTTCCTGCCCTGTTTGAACTAGCTGCTGATAAGTGTGTGGCTGAGTGTTACCAAGTTCAAAATGGCATGCTAGCATGGGATGATGGGACCCCATTTTTTGGAGAAACCTGAATGATTGGGAGGTGGCCCCAATGGTGGATCTGCTACAGAAACTCTAGAACACACAGGTGGTAATAAACAGAGAAGATAAGAGAATTTGAGCCTGGGAAAATTCTGGCCAATTCTCCGTGAGATCCTTCTAAAGTAGGCTAACCAGACAGATGGAGTGTGAGTTTTCCAGTAACAGAGTATGGTGCACAGCTGTGCTATCTTAAGCAGCCTTCTCTTGTCTGGTGACTGGTCAGCCACTCTGGACAGAATCTTGACTAGAGAAAATCTGGTCCAAAGAGGTATGCAGATCCCAACACAAATTGTGCTCTATGCAATAAAACCCTAGAGACTGTCAACCACTTGCTGCTACATTGCAAGTTTTCCTACAGTATTTGGACAAAAATAACAAAACCTTTTACAGTTAGGAGTTGTTTCCCTGCCTCAATTGCAGAGTTATTAAGAGGGTGGTACTTGGAAAGGTTGAGTATGCAAGGGAAAGTAGCATGGAGAATGTTACCCGCAGCAGTATTTTGGTGTTTGTGGAAAGAAAGAAGGATTTTTGAAAACAAAGTTTTTTTTTTTTTTTTTTTTTTTTTTTTTTTTTTTTTATAAATGAAGAATTTATTAGAGAAAGAAATTAGAAGCAACTTTACAGAAGACACTTGGAGAGGCACGAGCTGCGACCTCTCCAACCCTTCAAACACTAAAGAAAAAAGATTACAGCTGAGCCCAATACAAATGTTCCCTCATTGCCCCTTGCTTGGATAAACAGTTAGCCATAGCATTAGCAGATCTCCCTACCCATTGTATTCTAACATACAAGTATCTCGTCAAGCATTTAAATCTTTTAAGTTGATTTCTGAAGCACCAAACTATAGTCTCCGGATTCTGTAACCACCCCACGACCACCTTAGAATCACCTTCTATTAGAAGCTGCTCCACTCCTATCTGTACAACAAACTGTACCCCTTGTAGTGCAGCTAATAGTTCTGCCACAGAACCACTTCCATTCCTTATAACACTTCCCATCCTAGAAGGGCCTGGGTTGCCCAGGCTACTCCCATCAAAATTTAATTTCAGGAAGCTTTCAGGTGGGGGTACCCCGCTCATGTGCATGTTTGTCTTCAATGAGGAACTGCTTGCCACTTCTGCCCAATGCCTCCACAGGTCATTAAAAGAAAACTGCTGAAATAACTCCGAAGATTTTAGCCACACTATAGCCCTATACAGGATATAGTCCTTCAAATCTTGTTGGCTTCGCACCTTCTCTTGGAATATTCTAGCATTCCTTTCTTCCCACACTGTCCAAAGCAGTGCTGCTCTTGCAACCCTCCACATTATTCATCTTCTTTGATGGCGCAAAGCAAAGGTAGAAGGGCCAAAAAGTAAGCTTACATCTGCTGGCCTATTCGACCTGCATCCAAAAATCAAGAAGAGCCAATCCCACAAATCTGTTGTAACAGTACAAGAAATTAGCAAATGGTTGCAATCCTCACCATGGGATCTGCAAAGGGTACACCAATTGGGTGAAATGCAAAGATAGGGTCTTCTCCTTTGTAGATTACCCAAGGTGTTTACTTTCCCATAAAACACTTCCCAACAGAAAGCCAAGACCTTAGGGGGAACAGGTTTGCACCAAACCTCCTTAAAAAGGGTAAGGAGGAGCAGACACTGGACGACAAAGGGCCTTGAAGAAGGAGGCACAGGAAAAACTACCCGAGGGCACAAGAGTCCAAAACCTTTTATCTGATTCTGTGGGGTCCAAACAAACTTTTTCAAGGGTACTCAAAAGGCAAGTAAGACTCACAATCTCCTCATCCCTTAGACCTTGTTGGAACCCAAAGTCCTAAACTGGAGCCAAAGGAGAATCCAAAGGGGAGCAAAAAAAAGAAACAAGCTCTTTCTTGTACTAGGAGATAGTGTATAAAGACGAAAAGAGGTCCTTCAAAGGAGCCTCTTCAACCTAAATGTCTTCCCAAAAGAGAATCGAATTACCAATACACACATTATACCTGAGAAAATTGTTGAGTTGAGGGAGGAGACTGTGAATTTCCTTCCAAGGTGTTGCCAAATGCCCACCGAGAGACCCCAACATCCATCTGCTCTCCGAGTGGCAATGAATACTTCCTATCACTTCAACCCACAATCATTCTCTCTCTAATGGCCATCTGCATAGCAATTTTCCCAACAAAACCGTGTTCTTTTGCATCAGATTCCCTATTCTTAGACCTCCCTCTTCTT